TCTGTAGAATATCTTATTATATCTCCTCGCACTATAGGTCGCCTACTTGGTTTTCATTCAGATCGACAATGGTCTGATGATTATTATGTGAACAAACCATAAACATTTCATTTTCCATTTTTTCTCGGAAAGGAATCATTTTAGGAACCATGTTCATATGAACTTTTTTTTCATATTTTGTTGAGAAATCTTCCCCTTGGCTTCTGTCACCACAACTCTGAAAGGCCCTGTATACTGTTATGAAACTTGAGCCAGCAATTCAAAAATAATTGTAAGAAAATATTTCACATGGGAGACAAAAAAAGGCAACGGCACGCGGTGTTCCCAAGCGGTCACCCATCCAAGTACTAACCGCGCCCGACGTTGCTTGACTTCCACGATCAGACGAGTGTGGGTATATATCAACGTGGTATGGTCGTTGCCTGAAAGTTGGCTCTGATGAGGTAGGTATTTAAAGATTAAAATAAGAAATGAAAAATTCCACAAATACACTCACCGGCAAAAAAAACCGGCCACCAAAATATTTAGTCAAGTTATTCGCCCTGTAACTTCTTTAGTTCTTGTCGGATTTTGGTGAAATATTGATCAAATCGTAGATTCAGGTTCCAGAATGTTAACCTCTGAATATGAATTCTCAAAAAAGCTGATAGCTTGATCATTATACAGGGAAAAACAAGAGTTACTCATTTACCCATAACTTCTTAACGCCCTGTGACTGAAGTGAGTGGTTGAACTCCTTTTCATTATGTCTTGGATTGAAGAGTATTCTTTTCTCATCACAATAGTTTTTGATTCACGTCGATATCTCATTTAGATACGAGGGTTTCAAGAAAGTATGAAGTTATTCAACGTACATAAACTTATCGATCGACAACTTAAGAAAAAACATCTCATAATCAATATGGCTTATTTCTACATTGTTTTCTTGGTATACTTTCCTACGAAAATTGCTGTCGATTGACACTTCACTTTTATACCGGCAGAAAAATACTGGTCACTCGATTATTTAAAATGAAATAGCAGGCTTGGACAACTGTCTGGAGTGATTTTGACAGTTAATCTATAATGCAAATCAGCACCTTTTGTTTTAGTTCGTGATTCACGGTGGCATGTCATAATTGTTGTTAAAAATAAAAACAATGTTGCTCAAGTGGTAGGTATAGCTTTGCTTCAAAATGGTCACAGTCAACGATATGTGTCTCGAACATTAGGAATACCTCGAACTGCAGTTCAATATGTCTGGAATCGTTTTCTGGAGACTGGCAGATTCGAAAGGCGTGCTGAATCCGGTAGAAGAAGAGCAACAAGTAGGGTTGATGATCGTTTTGTTGCGCTTAGATCGTTCAGGAATCGCCGATAACCAGCTGTTCAGCTTCAACATGAATTGCACGCTGTTCGAGGTGTTGATGTTAGTGAAAGAACCATCAGACGGAGGCTTGAAGAATATGGTTTGGCATCGAGAAGACCTGCTACAGGACCGCAGTTGCTACCTAGGCATCGTAGAACACGACTACAGTTTGCACGGTTACATGCAAATTGGACACTTCGACAATGAAAAGAGGTTTTCTTCACCGATGAGTCACGTTTTTGTTCGCGATCACCTGATGATCGAGAAAGGGTATGGAGAAGACAAAACGAGCGATTTGCGGACTGCACTATCTCTGAACGGGTATCTTTCAACGGAGGTTCAGTTATGGCGTGGGCAGGCATTTCTACAGAAGGACATACCGACCTCGTATTTGTGGAAAATAGTGCTTTGAACGCCCACAGATATGTGGAGGACATTTTACAAGAAGCTGTCGTCCCATATTACCATTTTATTGGAGACGGCTTTGTCTTGATGCATGAAAACGCCAGACCACCATATACGTATTAATAAACAATACGGATCATAACGGGTGCCAGGATGAAGCCAAAAATATGAAACAAATGAATATCCATAAGGATTTGGTGGCATGATACGCATGCGCCATGCGCTATTATAGTAGTCATCAAAGACATGCCTTTCGGTGGACAATGACATTTACTAGCCTTTCAATCAAAGCAGTATATGTGTCTGATCGTTTCAAAACTTTTCCTTATGGATAGTCATTTGTCTTCGAAAATCGGCTTCATGTTTCGCTATGGAAACAGATAGAGATTATCCGTATTGATTATTAATACTTATATGCAGACCACACGTTGCTCGAATTGTAACCGAGTATTTGAATGAGGTCGGAATTCTAAGGCTTGACTAGCCAGCATGCAGCCCGGATCTCAATCCTATAGAGCATCTTTGGGATGAACTACAGAGGCGCATTCGTCTACATCCGGCATTGCCAGAGACTCTTCAAGAGCTACGATTCGCCCTTGAAGAAGATTTTGAGGCGATTCCTCAAGACTGCTTGAGAAATCTTATCAACTCGATGCCACGGCGATTAAATGCTGTAATTCAAGCTCGAAGAGGGCATACTCGGTATTTCATCTCATCTAGGAGATCTACTTATCGTTTGTTTTTTGTAATTAAGGTTTTTTTTGTGTAGGTGTATCTACGTTCTGATTATTGGTAATTAAACTTGAATAACTCCATACTTTCTTAAAACCCTCGTATCTTTTCTAAAAAATGAGATATCGACGTGAATCAAACACTATTGTGATGAAAAAAAAATACTCTTCAATCCAAGACATGATGAAGAGGATTTCAACCACTCACTTCAGCCACAGGGCGTTAAGAAGTTATGGGTAAATGAGTAACTCTTGTTTTTCCCTGTTTAATGACCAAGCTATCAGCTTTTTTGGGAATTTATATTCAGGTTAACATTCCGGAACATGAATCTACGATTTGATCAAAATTTCACCAAAATCCGACAAGAACTAAAGAAGTTACAGGGCGAACAACTTGAGAAAATTTTTTGGTGGCCGGTTTTTTTTGCCGGTGAGTGTAGTTCGAAAAGTTCCAGTACTGATGAACTTACCACAATGGTAATGCCGAGAAAACATCGATTTCAAATTTATCATCTTTTCTACAGAGTCCAAACATCAAGAATATAACAGATTTTAAAATGTCCATTAAAAGGTGATATTTTATGAATCGCACCTCGTATTTTGGATCAGTCGGATCATACCAGGATTGCAACCAACTTCCATTCAAACTCCCTACTATTGAGTATATGAGGATATATGGTGGGGAAATGTGAAAAAGACAAGGAAAAAAATGCCGGAACTTGAAGATGCTGCCACCCTAACAACACAGAAATGTCCTAGGTACGTCCCTTTTTTGTCCCTCGGTACAAGCACATGGTCGGGACATCCAGGGGATATCCTGCAGTGGTTGTCCAGTGGACATCCCGCCCGGTATACATCCCTAGGTTATCCTATTCGTGTCCCTGGAGTATTATCTGATGATGATATCCATTCACATCAGAGTCATTGAATTTCATCAAACTATTGAGTTGAATTTTTCTGAAAATGTTTGTTTAACTTCCGGAAAATGATTGTAATGAAAATGAAGAATAAAGTCTCAGAACTTCTTGAGAAATTACCATTTTTCGCAGACAGAAATCGTACATGCATAATGCCCCTCATTTTTAAAAACCCAAGAATGATAATAAATTATACCCAATTCCTAACAAAGTGGTATTCATTCAGGTTTCTGTAGTTAAGTCCTGTTTATACATCTGTTTAGTACATAAATCTTCAGGAGGCATGATAGCCAATGGAGCAAGGTGCGTGCATGATAAGCCAAAGGTCCCTACTCGACCTACAACTTTTTTCCTTTTGTCGAAAGAATGTCCCTAAGATATCCTTGGGACGTCCTAGGGATATCCTTTCATCGTACTTGGTACATCCCAGGGACGTACCAGAAGGACATCCCTTGGATGCCTTTTTTTGTGGCCAGCGGATGTCCCTCTCTGGGACGTACGGCAGTACGAGTTTTCCTTCTATATTTTCTCTCAAACATAAATCACTTTTAACACTAGTGCTAAAAGTAAATCACTTTCAACACCAGTGTCATAAAATGACATTTTAGACACTGACAGCTAGCATGCGTCAAAAATAATACTTTTAATCGTTGGATAGGTCATGGCGGCCCTCATTCTTGGCCTTCTAGGTCTCCCAACAGTAGGTATTAGACTATCATCTATGGAGACATATGAAACGATCGGTATATCAGACCGAAGTCAACACCAGGGAGGAACTGAGGAAGAGGATATAGTCACAGATTCAGATATGATCAGGAATAATAGGTAAATTATTCTTGAAACCATGAGAGATCTCCTGAAGTGATGCAGAAAATGGGAAGAAATTGGAGAAAGGCAATTTCGAGAATCTTCGTTGAGGATTGTCCAGGTATAGACAAAGCTTTTTCGAAAATTATAATTGTTTTGTAGTTTTTTCCAAGAATCAAGTCTGGTCCGGAGTTTTTTCATTGAAAAAAAAAAAACATTCTCAACTCTGCTATATCAGTATATCAATATGCAAAAAACAATAGTGTCGTACAAGTTGAAAAACTGCAATTGTAGTGTTTCTCCTGATCTTGCTGATTCTGGACGAGAAATTTTGGAAAATCACGATCCAGAAAGTCGAAATTATGATCTTTATAAAAAAAATATTTTCTCAAGTTCGTCTCTGGAATTTTTCTTCCATATATAGGCCATCTCATGTAGTGTTAGAAGAGGTAAATTGCTGTCCATTTTCAGACGATAACATCGAGACGTTCGTGAAATATCGTTGATCAAAGATGCGCCCCGAATTCAAATAATGCCTTGTATTTCTGTTACGTATAGGCAGAATATATTTCTCCGCATATATATCGACTAACCCTGACTTTCTCTTTCCCCCATTAGGCTGGTTAATCATGACTCACCCTGTATACCTTACACACAGCCATTCAAATTCCTTCTGCCAAATTTGCGTTCGCAGTTTTATTTTCACTGTTATGAGGCAAGGGTAGGAAATGCGAAACACCCTAAACATAGAGAAAACTTACTACTCGTATCATAATATTCTCGATATTTTAGGTGGATAATGATTGGTCTGGCGAAGAGTGTGACTGTGCTGTTCATAGCAAGGTTCATCGCAGGAGTATCCAGTGGTCTTTCCTTCTCTACAGTGCCAATGTATTTGGGCGAGATAGCAGAACCACAGATAAGAGGTAAAGTTGATCAATTTGAGTGAAAGCTCGCATCAAGCTATTTGAATTACAATGTGAGAACAATCGTATGGTATTAGGGGTTCAAAATTACAGAGAAACAAACAATGATGCAAAACGTAAGCGAGCATACTTTACTCAGAGGATATTTCTCTTGACTTCTGAGATACGAAGAATTAGTGAAGAATTATAATCCTTGGATGAAACACATATTGGAGGTATCTGAATTGATGGATGTTTTTGAAAATAGTAGAGGCCGGGTTCACCATTGCAAGTTGTATTGAATTTCTGTATGCATTGAATATGAGTATTAAAAGAATAGATATGATTTCATTCAAATGATAATTCAAGATATTCTGAATCTTAATTATGAAATGGAAATCGATAAAATTAAGATTGAGAGTCTATGTGCACCATAATAGTAGATTGCTATATTAGGATCAAAAGTGACACTATGTTTGACAAACAAATTTCACATTTGCGAGGCGGAGCGTTTAGCGGAGCCGAATGAAACATGCTATTTTTTCTGCAATCGAGAGAATCACCAATGCCGTGCCATATGTATGCAATATATGCAAAAAATAATCCGTGTGGTGAGAATATTCCACCTGTATTAACAAAACAAGTTTATTCTATTCTCAAGGATGTATAGTTCCAATATAAATACAACCACAGAGTGATCCATATGTGTATGGACCAGGTGTCAGCCCTAATAGCAAATACCGTGCTAGTGCCAGGTATAGGAAGAAGACGTGGAAAATGTACAATATTAATAGCGACTATTGCCCAGCGAGCACAAACATCCCTGGGATATTTTGGGATGTTTTGAAAATGTTGGCATGAAGATGTTATTTTGAGACGTAAGAGACCAAAGAGGTCTTTGAAGGATATTGAAGTGTTGTTTTTGTTCTTCTGTGGCATTTCTTTGTTTACCTACTGAGAGGTATCCCTGGGATGTTTTGGGATGTTTCAGAAATGTAGGCATGAGGATGTTTTTTTGAGGCGTGATATGCACTTCCCAAAGAGGTCTCAGAAGGATATTTGTTACGGTTTTATTTTGCACTACGAATTCTCCGTTATTATTATTCTGGAATCATTGAATTTCGTGTTCTTAAGTATCAGATCGATGTCACACTCGGTATCATGTTTACTGTGCTATATGATAACTTCATGTTATGCTGTATTATGAACTATCTTTCAGTATTTCGCCTCACTGTACTCACCTTTATTTCAAACAATTTCGCATATATTATATTATGTGCTCAGTAAGATATCATTTAAATATAATGATCCATCATTGTTTACTTTATTTTTATTTCAATGATTAAATCAATTGACAATCGATTTCTGACAATTATAAGTCAATATTCAATGACAGAGTTGACAGATAACATGTGAGATATTTTCTTAGTACAGATACTTTCTTTCTGACCCGAGATGGGTCCATAATACGTCAGCGATAGTTCGTCTTGAGAACACGAATGTCTGCAAGCAGTTGTGAAACCGTAACTTTTTCCTCAGCAGCAACACGAATAGTTGTTCATCAAATGTTTATCCGGTTGGTGTAAGCACTGATCAGATTTTGTTTGTCGAGTATTTATTCCGGATGAATATCAGTTTAGTTCGAGATCTGAGTAAATGCCTTAGTGGTTGTTATAAACTTTAACTGAGTGTAGGATCCGAACTCACGATAAAAAGTTTCATGGATGATTTTACACTTGGAATCTGCTCGCACCATCCTTATAAATTATTCAGCGCCAGCCATCAGTCATCACGAAAATACTGTCGTTCATTTAAGTTTAATATGTCACAGAACTATTCTCAGATTCCTGTATGATCTAAGGAATCAGTTTCGCGTATAAATCACTATAAATCGATGCAGATTGGCAAGGTGATCGACCGTTGGGGGCGCTGTTTCAAAACAAGATGGCGGCAAAGAGTGTGTAGTTTGTTTACAAAATTTCTTGAGATTTGCATACATTTTCTTCTTGATATTTCATCGTGTTATTTGTTTTTATTGTTGAACTTTTAATTGAAATCATAATTATATTTGTTGGAACTTACTGTTTCATCGTTATGTGAGGAAAATTACTGTTACCTACTGACTGAATCGTGGACCAAATTTCTTCAAACCAGTGCATTTCTCTGGAACAGCTTTATCGGATATCAAAAATTACAAGCATATCCACTATCATCAGAAGCTGATATATTCACCATCATACTTCTATAACTCCACTCTTCAAGCAAAAGGATCCTACAGACCACAAATGGTGATACCAGGAGTGAAGTTTTTCAACAGTGAACAGCCTTCTGTGAACATATTGAAAACCATCCCTGAACAATGTGTTAACCTATTGGACTATTTTGTGTTGAATATTATAGCCATCAAAATCATGTGCAATTATTGATCCATACAATAGAAATCAGCAACAACCAGCTCTAATGAGTTTAAACCAAGAAATAATTCAACACCAAAGGCATCCTGACAATACTGTGGATTTAATAGTAGATACAACAATATCACTTCCAGGCTTTGAGGAAAACATTGATCAAATGACCTAGGATTTCAGTTAATGTATTTACACAGTATATTATCATAAATTTTGTGATTTGATATCATTTTGTAATCCTATATTCATCTAATTGAAAATATCTATCATCAATCTGTATAGTTCATTATGTTTTGTATATTTTGGAACTGAATTAATAATAATGTTCGAAAATGAAAGTACATTGACATAACATGTGTTTTACTGTACTTATGCCACTCCAAAGAAGTCCAGAAAGAAGTACCTACAAATAGAAGGATAGTCCAGTATACTCCTTCCCTCAGTGCTCATGTATATTGTTTTCCCCTGAATTATTTTACAAGATACCTTCATAAAAATTTAAAATTATGAATGAATTTGAAATCCAGGACTTTTATGTATGTAGAAATAAATTAACAATGAGCAAAAGTAAGTATCTTTCTGGTAGGTACCTATTTTAAAAGGAATCAGTAAAGATTATAAAGTGAAACTTTGAAATTGCATAAAAAAAGAATGAGGTGTTGATTGAGGTAGTTGTGGAAGTGAAATATGAATTTTGAAAACCTACAATGAAACATTACAAAACAGAAAAAAAGTAGAACGTTTACTTATGAATAAATACAGTTTAATAATAACATACAAGCAGTAAAATAATGAATACATTTTTCCAAGATACAATTTGAAATGTCATGGATATGTTCAAGTACCCAAATAATCAGTGATATATCCTTGAAAACTTGAATTCGACTTCAAGGAATCTGGGTTTTGGTTTCAATTTGTGTAACTAATTGAACTCAATTGCAAGATACCCTGGATGGCACCTCCTCCCCTGCTGAAAAATTGAAGAAATATTAGTCAATGTATGTTCAAAGATTCAATTCAAGCTATGAAGTAAGCTACCTACAATGACCTGCTTGTACCAGGGTTATTATATATCTATAAAATATGCTACTGTTTTTGCTCATATGAATTTAATTGGAGCTGTATTTTAACTTAATCATTATGGAAGTACATGCAATCTGCATTGGCGATTTTACTACAAAGATGATACTACAAAATAGGAATCTATGGAGGACTAGGCAGGATGGCATCACAAATAAAACTATAAATTACCCACCTGCACATGTTCATAATGTCTTTTTTCTTGCCCAGCTTTGTGTATTGCAGTTCAAAAGTCAAAGGCATTGAATTTGCTTCATTTTTCTTATAAAAATATTCGAAATAAAAACAACCATACTTTTATTTCTCCAAGTCCTAGTTTCTGGAGACATCCCCATAAACAAAGTAGGTATGAACTGTTGATTATTTCAATCATGTTCTCTCTCAGATAGGCACTGCAAATGAGACTTATTCATCAGTAATAAATATATCAATGAATCACAAATTTACCTTATTGTTATCATTATTGGACCAATGAAGTGAAGAAAGGTAGGAAGTTTCTGTTGGAGCTGCATACATCCAGTTTTCAAACTCATATTGGATTCTCAACGTTTATCCATTTTTTCCATTCAACTGAACTGATTTTTCATCATCAGAAAAGACTTCTTGAGTGCAGGAAATTCATATTAGAGGACATTATAGGTCCTACATTTTTCCATTGGAACCTTCTACTAGTTCAAACAGCAACCAAACAGTTGATTTCGCGTATTATCAGAGATTTGTTGATACTCATTTATAAAATAATATAGAATTGATTTGGCAATTGATATAAAGTTCATGTCTTGTACTCAAGAAGAGAAAATTAACGTAATTTGTTGAATGGTATTCATAAAATATGAAACCCACTGAGAACACAATAACAAACATGACCTTGAATTACGTCCTAAACTGGTTCAAATTTGCCCACCAGGTGCCGTATCGGAATTGTCACCTTGCCAATTGACAGCAGTGACATTTCATATTTTTGATATCTGACTGACATTTCAATTTTTCACTTTTGATTCTTCCTTGGTACTTGTGGGAGTGTATGGCCGATTGAAATATCTCCATCGAATTATTCGATCATCTCTGTATGGATTTGGAGAATTTCAACATTATATGATTCATTACGTATCGGACCAATATTGGATGTTTGTATTTTGAATGAAATCATATTTTCTGCTCTGCAGGATATAAAGCCAAAGTAAGTTTTTTTTTAGGTTAATATTTTCAGACTTGTAAGTTTCTTTTTATAACTTCAGAGCTCCTGTCTTGTCTATCCAACAAGTACCATTGTGGAAATAACTGACACAGACAATCCACAACATCGGAATTGTTAAAATAACCCTCAGCTACAAAAGAGGTTAGTATTATCTTTGTCAGTCAGCATGATCATTATGCAATCAATTGAAGTGAACTCAGACTAGTATTGTTTATTTTTAGGGTCCTAGTCCTAGTCTTAATTCTAGTCCTACTCCTAGTTCTTGCCCTAGGCATAGGCTTCATCCCACTATTAGTACCCCAGTTAACCACACATGTCTCAGCTCTATCACAAGA